ATATTCCAATTCAGTCAGCTTGTCAAATACATGAGACCATTTTCATTCAACTTTTTGCCAGGCCAGACTTGAATTTGTAGGAATGTAAATTAATTCGGAGCAAACCTTCTTCTTAGGCGATCCTCCTTCAGCAGTGTCCAACGCTTTTCTTTCTGTGGCTCATCATTTACTTTCTTCCTGTGGTTCCCCTCTGATTTAGAGTCATTGTCCTCGTCAAAGTCATTAATATCATCATCATTAGTTCTATTCTCATCATCATCATTGTAGTCATGTGGTCATCGTTTTTCACATCTCCTGCAGTATCTTCAACAACAAATAATGGTCGCATATAATAATATAGTGTCCTTACCTTTCGAAGTGTTTGATTTGAAATAGGCTGTAACTAGTTGTTTATTTTCCTTTGTAGCTAAGTAAGGTTTGTCTAAATTAGTGTCAAAAGTTAATGTCATTTCGTTGGCTGGAAAATACGGTAAGAAAGACTGCCGGCTTAACCTGTTAATTGTGCAGCTCTATAAGTTCCAAACTGGTCCAAACTCAAAATTAAAGAGGAAACATGAGAAGGAAGAGTAGACAAGGTCAACCCAATAACTCCTCGATGTCTGATGAAACGTTGCTCTTAGCTGCTGCCGACAGTTTTCTGGTCAGCATTCACGCACTCAAAAAAACCAGTGCGCTCCAAACTTTGTTTTCGTTTCCGTTGCCTGTGTAGTAACACATACGTAATACTGTACACAAAATTTGCCGATCTCTTCGAGCAAAGCTGTTCCACAAAGGTTCACATTGAGGTAAGTTTCTTTTCTTTACTTAACTTGTCATGTATAGAAAAAGCCACTCACTGTTCGATGCTTTTGAGTTCTTGAATAAAACCTGCGGAAAATGCAACAGTAATTGAATGAAAAAAGAAAAAAAGCGTAATGACAAAGCTTAGCAAGGGTTCGAATCCAGTTTTTTTTAATACAGCTCAGAATTTAATTCCGCACGGCAAGCTACTTTATCAAGTGACACATGGCCTACAGCGCAGGCGCATTTTACCAACAAGTGAGCCGCGCTAAGTATGTAGCTGTCTGTGTGTGATTGTGAAAGTAAACTAACAGCTCATTAAAATGGACGTCTGAAGTTGTCCCCTCCCCTTACGTTCTACAAGGCCGACGCTTCTCTCGGGCGACAGTAATAGCCGGTCCAACGGTCTTCTCAAAGAGTTATAATAAGTGTAACACTATTAAACAGAGGGAGTTCCAGTACGCGCTCCCTGAAAACACCTGCAGTGACCTAATTTGGTCAATTTGACTTCACGCGTGAGGAGTCTGGGACGGTACAGAAACGAATTGAACTCTGGGACAGTTTTGGGGACCGATCGCCCTGTTGCATGGTTGCGCAGGAAAGCGGGTGAAAATTCACCATCCAAACCCACCTCATCCTCACCCCCCTCCGCAAACCGTCCAACAGTGATATTAGACACAGTACAGACCTAGTTCATGCCTTAAAAGATCTTAAATGGCGAATGTGTGGAAAATTATCCAGAATACTTCGGGGAATTAACCTTGTTTAGCTCACCCTAAGATGGGACAAATTATTAGCAGTTTTCCACCAGTTCTTATCATCTCTGATCCTTGTCACCCGTAGGAACCTGATTGATATTCCATCAGCTGTGTGAGTATTTACTGAACTCTGCTCCTGTTACTCTCCCATACTGGGGCTTTCTGCAGAAACAAAAATACAAGTCAGAATGTATATTTTCGTCCGACGGGAGGGCTTTCCAATGGCTCAGCCTTCCTGAGAGGGAATTTTTGCCGCCAGCGACCGCACTCTCGCTCTCAATGAAGGGAATAGAACTCTAGTGCGAATTTCCACCAGCTGCTGATGATAATAAAACAAGCCCAATTAAGCAAGATCACTGTGTGATGGCAATTTTGCTCAGACAGAATCGCAAATTTCTTATTTAGGACAAGTTGTGACCAGTAACGTTCCATGGTTAAGGAACTGATGTTCCTATTTGAGCATTTTATCTGATGGAAGGAGGTCACCGTGTTTTTCTTTGAGTTGTTCAAGTGCATTTTAATTTCAATTGGCTACGTTTTATTCCTTTGCAACTTCCTATTAAACTCGAAAGTGTTAATTCTCATTTTGGAGTGAAGAAACGTTCTTTCTAAACCTTATAGTAGTTGATAATTATCCAGTAATAAAGCTTGTACCTCTGGATCCGCGATAACGAAGCCGGGAACAAAACTGTGATGAACACTCAGCCATAATGGAACCTTAGAGGGGTCCTACATAAAATCACGCATCATTCTTTAAAATCATTACATCTTGTCTGTTTTGATTACCAACCTATTGGAGGCCAGAAGCCCATGGTAAACGATAACCAATTAGACCCTCCAAGAACTAAATGGACACCCTCAAATCCGGTGGGCACTCCCGTATAAAAAGTGGCGGCGATGTTCGTCGGAGAATTCAAACGACTCAAAGTAATCGTCTGATTAATGTCGACCAATGTCGGTGTGGCTAAAGCTTACGCTGACCCCGGCCCTAAGGGAGATTTCTGTGTGGTCATCGTCAGGGCATTTTTTGTATAAAGGTCTTTATGCACAGTACTAAGCGATACCTGAATGGGCAAATATAGTAACTTTCCATCCCGAACACCCTAAGTGAGACCAATATCTGCAATTTACACCCCAAAGCACCGAGACGACGATTGATCGAGGAACATTCCCGTCACTTTTATATGGAGTCTCCCGGGCCCTCAAAGAAGAGTTAAGGAGAGAAGTTATCGTTGCTCAAGGATACCATAGGGTTTACCTGTGTGTGGAACAGAAAAAGGGGATGGACAGGGAGAAGGGGAGGGGATTATAGGGGAAATTAAGGAGACTCCTCTATGAGGAACCCTATTTTGCTAAACAGATACCGTAAATCCTCTATTAAGCTTATTTATTTGAAGCCTATTTGAGGGGATTGATTAATAGAGACAGTGGGGGTTATTTGAGATAGGGGGTGTGCTTATTTAATTTAGAAAAGACGATGGTATCATTTCTTCATAAAGAACTAGAATACAAAGTAGAGAAGCCCAAGAACAAGAAGTTAAGGTTGGAGGTCATGCAACAGAGGATCAGAATCAAATCCGAACTACCAGTTGGTAAATAAACCATCCCGGATCAGTCCACACGAAGTTAAACTCAGACTGTCCAACCGTTTGAGTACGTAAAATGGGGACATTTTTTTAAAATAATATACGAATCGCATCACGTGAGCGTTGAGGGTGCGAGTCCCCAGCGGGGTCTGGAAGCATGCTACCCCAGAAAATTGTGAAATTTTGAAATTTTAATGCTCTGAAACTCTATTCTTGTGTTCTTAGAGGGCGATTTCTTTCTAAAATGCTCGCTAATTGTTTTTTCTCCTATTTTTATTTGCGTGTTTTCACATACAAGTACTCGATTTTGTTTTATATTCTAGGTTGTATATTTAAGTTTTCTGGGTATCAGTTTCAATTGATTACACTCTGTTAGGTGCTCTTGTGTATTTATCAAAATAAAATCGTGATTTTTGCTATCCCGATCGCATATTGGTCGGGATTCGGGATTTTCAAACAAAATCGGGAGAATCCCAACGAGATCGGGATGGTTGGACAGTGTGTAAACAGTCATGATTGATTAATACAGTCTATAATTTATTAGTGAAGAATAATAAGGGGGAGGGGAGACTTAAATGAGAGGGGGGGTATTTAAGAGGGAGGACTTAATAGAGGATTTATGGTAAATAAGATAAGGTCAAGAGAAGTGGAGAGAAGAGAAGAGGAGAGGAGAGGAGAGGAGAGGAGAGGAGAGGAGATCTGCTCCCATGTCCTACCTCTCCCCTCCCCTTCATGCGCTTGTTACGCAAGTTACACTTGGGTTCAGCGTGTAGTACACGCATTGAACTGAAGCGTCTATGGTCGGTTTCTACCTTAAAACGAAAAGATAAGCTCACCCTGTAGAGCGTTTGACTGTAGGATGGTGAGGTGCAGGAGGCCGGACCAATACTGAGAGTCCTAAAATAACTAAGGAGGAGGGTACAGTCAAACCCCATTACTACAGACACTGAGGGGGGCATAGAAAGTGTCCTTATTAAGGGGGTTGAATCAAGAGAAAATGTAAGGGATTTTTTCACCGGGGACAAACAATGAGGTGTCTGTATTAAGCGGGATTTGACTGTCCTGTCTTGTCCTGTAAACTGCTCAGTAGACCAATACTTGGCTCCGCTGCTGATCATTGGACATAGAAATGGTGGTCCATTCACTCTCCGAATAGGGAGGTAAAAATAGTGTCCTCAATATAGTACTCTGGTGCTAAATACATTTAAACTTGAATGAAGGAAACTGGAATGTTTAACTCCAACACATGACGGTCTCATTGACAACGATAAATTTGAACAAAAAAAAACATTCTTTATATTTGATTGTCCTTTAATGACGCTTTAATGCGTTTTCAACAAATTGTTATTATACAATTGGGTTAATATATGTTATAACTAAAGGACCTGAAGAACCTGTTGAGAAAAAAAATGGTACTTGAGCTAACGGCTCGGGAATAATATTTCCAAAAATACACCAGCTAACAACTAGCAACTGCTGGAAAGAAAATGAAAAGGTATACAACATAAAAAAGCAATTTTGATACCAAAAAAGTGAACTACCTTATTAAACTACAATCGGCAATTAAATGAGACTACAATACATTTGAAAACAACGTTACAAAATATATTTACAAGTTGAGTGTCATTTCAGCTGTTATTACAGCCACGATTTTATAATTTATTGCTACGTTCACTGAAAAGACAAACTGTTTGTGAGGGCAACCTAATGCCCCCCCCTTCGACCACCCCCCCCCCCTCACGACAAATAGAAAAGGTCAACAGTGACTCAGTGACAAATACCTCACGAGATGGCGTTGTTCGAAAAATTAAGGTTTCATATTCTTGATAACCAATTTGAACTTTTCAACAATAATTATACCACTGGTAAGATCATATTATATCTTGTCAAACACTTGGATTCGGTTGTTATTCATTTCACACACAACTATCCTTCCATCACTAAGATTTGCTAAAGACGTTGGAAACCTGAACTCTCCTCTCTCACTACCTATACTTCCAAACTTTGTAACAAACTTTCTACTCAGTTCAAATACCTGAACTCTGTGATTTTTTGAATCACAGACCATCAGCAATCCTTCTTTGTTAACTGACAAGTAACGGGGCTTATTGAACTCTCCATCCTTGTTCCCCTGTTTTCCAGATTTAGAAATAAACGTTCCCTCAAGATTAAACATTTTAATGGAATGATCACCACCCTCTGAGACTATAAAATATTGACCGTGTTGGATACAGTGATAGGGTTCGACCAAAGAACCTGCTCCACCAAATTTACGTAAATACTTCCCACTAGAAGAGAATATCTTGATTAATTTGTTACCTCTATCAGTAACAATAATATCACCGTTACCGTTTATTGATAAACCTTCAGGGAATTTAAGCTGATTATTACGACTTCCATATTCACCAAACTTACTAAGAAAGTTACCATTCCTATCAAAGACTTGCACCCTGTGATTATAACAGTCTGCCACTACAATATTGCCATGACTATCAAAAGCGATCCCTGTAGGGAACTGGAACTCACCATTATTCTGACCCTTCCTACCAAAGGATCTTAAGTGGGTACCGTCACTACTAAACACTGAAACCCTGTGGTTACTGCAATCAGTCACAGCAATTTCATCCTGATCATTCACTGCCACACCCCACGCACGGTAAAACATTCCAACAGACTCACCTTTTTGTCCAAATGACAGCACAGATCTGAAGCGCCTGGTTTGAACCTGAGTGTCAAGAGGACTGTCATGAACATTTGCCCCTTTATTCCCAGCAATTACTTTACTACTTTCTTTACCTTTAGTTCCTGATTGTTGCGCTTTAGTTTCGCTAAAAACAAATTCTACTTTACCTATCCCCTCACTCATGCTTAACAAGTTAATCAGTTTTTCACTTTTAGTGAAACTAAACCGAGGAATACATTCAGTGTCACGGTTTTCTTGGGTGCTCTGTTCCTGTAGGATTGTATCAAATGTTTCACTGAATCCAAGGATTTCAGTGCTAAAGCTTCGTTTCAACAGAGTTTCAGTTTGTTCAATTGCGGATTCAATTCTTTTTAATTGTTTTTCCACTTCTTCTTTTTTCTGTGACAGAGATTCTAGTGATTGTTTCGCTTGATTATCGACTGCATCAAAAACATCTTGTTTTCTCGCTTCGATGATTGCAATAATTTGGTCTACACAAGACTGCACTTGGCTTTTTACCTCGGTTACTTTCGATTGAAATGCGATGCTTTTTTGGTTGAATTGTACGACTTCCTTTTGTTTTTCCACTACTTTGTCTTTCAAAGATCGAATCATGGAGTTTATCTGTGTTTTGCGCTCATCAGTAGCTTCTTGCAAGGGCATCTTACCATGACCTTCATGAAGTGTTACAGCGCAAGTGTTGCAAATGGCGACTTCACAGTCCTTGCAAAAGAACTCCAACTCTTTGTTTTCATGGTGTTTCTTCTGACAAAATGCTGGTCGCTCTAAAACAGCTTTGATGTCTTGATCTTGAAAATCTTTCAGCGCTAGCGTTCTGTGATCTTTATTTTCTCGAATTATGTTATGTCCTACAATACATTCTTCACACCAGAAGGAACAACACTGGAAGCAATATGAGGTCTGGGCGCTTCGTTTGTCGCAGTTTCTGCATTTTACGTTGACTGTACTGCACTCTTTAATTGCCAAAACATCTAGCAGGCTGTTTATTCGAAAATTGGTGGGAAGTTCGCTGGGATTTCCACTTCCAGAAATCTGAAACTGTCTCCTACACTCGGGGCACGTAATTTTACCACGGACGCCGCTCGTTCGTTGAATTCCGTTCAGGCAGTGAAGACAGAAACTGTGCAAACAAGGCAACTGCTTTGGATCAGTGAATGGACACATACACACAGAACAGGATACTTCATCATGAAGATTATCCAGCAAGGTCTTTACATCCATGGGAAAGTTCGGCAACAAGTTTACTCTTCAAAAATTTGGACCTAAGTGTTGACGATCAAGGGAATTAATGCCTTTGCGAATAAACAATGAACTCTTGTCTTGTGACCCAGACTAAACTCTGTATTATTAGCCAATCAATTAGAGTTTCTTGACATGTTTTGATGGCTTAATGGCAGAATAAGAAACATCCTGTATTTCCGAGAATTGTTAATCAGCTCTTTTAAACATGGGTAACCTGTCGGCAGGCTTTTCCGCGCGAAAGTTGGGGCCAGAGCAGTTTGCTAGGCAGGTTACTGCGCTTTTCGAAAACATGCGAATTCTGAAGTTCAAAAGCCAGCTGACGATTGCGTTTTTTGCTGCCGTCAATCATCTTAACGGACCTCTTAGGAAACAAAACTTTACTTTAATGGGTTCAAAAAGTCATGGTTTGTGATTTGCGATGGGCGGATTTCGGTCCGTTTTGTGTGTTTCTGTGTTTCAAGGTTCGTTGCTTGTGATCGTAATTATGATTGATGGCAGCGAAAAACGCAATTGTCAAGGGGGCTTTTGAACTTTGGAGTTTGCATGTTTGTGAAAAGTGCAGTAAAGCATGGACTATTGAAATTTTTTGAATATTTGTGTACACTGAACACGTTACAAACGCGTACAATCCTTGGACAGATTAAACTGGGAAAGCAACTCCCCGGAGGCTGAAAATAAGGAACAAAAAAGTCACGCGAAAACAAAAACTCGCCATTTCCCCATCCTTTTACGAATAAATGTTGCGTCTATTTTGTCCAATATAGAGGTCGTTAATGTGCGTGTTTCTAGAAAATACATTAATCAACCTTTGGCCAAGTCATCCCTGATACTGTGCAATAAAATCCTCCAGAAAAAATGGCAGTTGCAGAAAGTTTTTACTAAATCTTGGCTTTTGGGCCACAGAGGGGTTTAAATAGCAGAGAAGCCTAGAAGTCAAAATATGAAGTAACTTTAAAACGGTGTTATCCTTTTACTGTCAGTTTAGAAGCTGTAATCGGACTGTTATCTGCTAGAGTTCGCTTAAAAGACAGAGAACCTGATTTCCTTTTGAATTGTCAGCTGTGATTTTTTACGGACACTCATGGCTTCTGTAAAGTGCTCTCTTTCCAATGAATTTTCCTTTTTTTGCAAATTTAAATTAGTATATATATTGTTATAGTAGGAGTCAAGAATTGAGACAGTTTTGTTCTCATTTGTTTTTATCAAGTCTAAAGACTGTTCGGGCGGGCCTCGTCTTTTATTGACATATATGGCGTGGATTTTGGAACAAAATTTTAATAGAAAGTTTGTATTAAAAATCTCAAAAGAGATGAGATTCACAAGGCAGTATAAAACTAAGTCAGATTCCTTTCTTCGAACTTTTACAATGTTCCGCCGGAGAAAATTTTCGTTTGACGAGGTAGACTAACATCTACGTAACAAATCTATATTGATCACGTAACATTCATTCATTCCATCAGCCTCAGTCGGTAAACTCTTTTCCCTTAAAATGGTCTTTGACCAAGCTCACTTCTTTTGACTCGCGGCGGTCGAGGACTCGACCAAACTAAGTGCGCGATTGAAGACTTCGAGGTGTTCTGTAATTATCCAAGGCAGTTGATCCTGAATCGAATGCTGTAAATCTATGCAAGAAATTTATTATCTGGTACGAGACTGCCCTTCTTAACACACTTCCAAATCCATGATGGCGATACAACCTTGGTCGATCCTTGTTCCTTCTGTGAATCCTAAAAAAGCAAGAGAGGACGCGATAAGAATATGCATCGGTCACATCGCCAATAAAATATTTTAGCTTATCACCTAAAAAGCGTTGCTTCCAATGTCGAAGAGAAAGAACATGGGAAGAGGGGTGGAGAGGAGAGGGGGTGGGTATTATACAGAGTCTATTCCCCGCTTTCATGTTTTCCATAATACACGCTTGCATTTTGAGTTTCTTCCCTCTTTATCCTTTGCAAATCTTTCTTCTTCCGCTTTTTTCTTCTTTCCTTGCCTCATTCATATTTCTTCGATTTGTCTTCCCGTTTCTAGTACGGTCGTATAAAGGGTTACAAAAATTTACAAATAAGAAACTGATCGCAGTAAAGTTTACCACACTAATGAGATGACAAAAAATAAAAGTGCGCAAAATATTTTTTCATCTTCTTATTCTGTTGTCAAAAAGAGAGAACTGAGTCTATTCCCCCAATTTCAATTTTCCAAAAATACATCTTGTTCACCGCTCCCCCCTCTCCCGCCAAATTTTGCATAACAATTGTTTTCAACTTTTCCTGGGTATTACAGTCATTCAACAATGGTTAGGCAAAATATAGGGGGTGGAAACGGTGGGGTTAGTGGGGGAGGGGGGTAATCAAGGTGAACTATGGGCAATAAATGTGAAAGTATCGAGTAAAAACAGACTAGTCGTGTAATGTTTTGGTCAGCGTGCTCTTATTATATATAACTTTTTTCGCCGTTTTTTTGTTTGTTTTGTTTTTGTTTTGTTTTTCTTTTTTAACCTTTCTAATATACTTGTGAGTTTAAACACGCTTGCATTTTACGTTTACTAAGTTCCCTCTTCCTTCTGGAAAATCTTTCTTCTTCCATTTTTCTTTCTTTCTTTCGTTTTTAGTCTCATTTTTGTTTTGAAATTTGTCTTCTCGTTTTTAGTCCGGTAAAGACCTACCAAAATTTGCATATAAGAAACCCTTCGCAGCCTTGTATTTTATATTATCACGAAAAGTAGAAGTGTCCAAATTATTTTTCACCTTCTTACCCTATTGTTGCTTACTATATGTGTTGCACTTTAAAGACTTTTCAAATTCCTCCGCCAAATCTCAGTCATAACTATCCAGTCATGTTAAGAACGGTTAGAAATTGTCCTGTTTTATAGATCAAAGTTCATGATAGTATAGCGCAGCAGATAAAAAGCGCGGGAAAAATTGCAAAAGCGGTGGTTATGCTGCGTTTCTTTGCAAATATTCTGAATCCAGATTTAAGGTAAATAGTGGATGAACACTGGTCACCGTTAAAAACAGCAAAACCGAAGACAGATTTACCGTTATAGCTGTACCAGGGGTTGGGCGTGGGGCATTTTGCATTCCGCTGGCCAGATTTCCAGCGGAAATTTCTCTCTTCAAATAGCTGGAAACACTAGGGCCATTTATATGAGGAAAAATAAGACGCGTCATACATAAGACGCCAACTGTACCATTTATACGAGCATGTCTTATCTAAGACGAGAACAGCTCGTATAAATGGTTCCCGTCTTATTTCTGATCTGGACTCGTTTTCATGTGAATGTTGCCCGTAGCAACGGCAACCAACAAGGCGCGAGAATTTTCCCGCCAAAAATTAACGCATGCGTACCATGCGTTCGCGTCTAATGTAAGACGCGAAGGTCATTTATACGAAGTTTTTCTCGTCTTAGCTAAGACGCGTCTTATCTAAGAACAGGTGTTAAGGGTGTTCTAAAATAAGACCTGTCTTAGCAAAGTCGCGTCTTATTTTAGACGAAATGTAGCGTTTATACGGAAAGTTCGCGTCTTATTTAAGACGCGTCTTATGTAAGACGCGTCTTATTTTTCCTCGTATAAATGGCCCTAATGATTCACAATGCGAGGCTGATTCCTATTTGGGTTAAATCCACTGAATTCAAGCTGGAGTGCGGATTCATTGCTAATCCTATTTTGAATACAAAACAGAGAAACGTGTGGTTTCGTACGCTGTCGACTATAGCAACATACTTTTTCCTGTCTCAATTTTTATTAAATTAGACAAAAAGGTATCTCAAAGGATACGCAATAATATATCTTTTGAGTTTCGCGTAATCTTTACGATCTTTCGAGAGGAAAATTGTCAGTCCATGAAAGATGCTTTTCGAGCGCTGTAAAAAAATGAAAAGGATGTCAAAATACGTTCTTTGCATTACAGAAACGGTAGGTTATGATACACGTTACTACGGTGGTCCATAAGGGGCATAAAAAACTAGCTATTTATATTGGGAAATTTGAGTGGTAAAAGGTATTATGGTGAACGGTTTGAACCCAGGAGCCATTTCAAAAGTAGGTTGTGTTTGATCGTCCTGGTGAACGTAGTCCTGAATAGGACTGTTGTTGTTGACAGTGACTGATGTTTCGACAACCTGTGCGGTAGTCATCTTTAGAGTCAAAGTGAGTTGTATCACGTCAGTTGATGGTATTCAGTTATACTGTGGTTGTTGATCTGATTGGTCTGACTGACGAATCTAGACATAAAGTACAGTCTACTGAGAACTTTATTTACGCCATTAAGACAATACAGATACCGGACGACCACAAACTAGTGTCCTTTGACGTGAAATCACTGTTCACCAGTATTCCGTGACTTCAACTGGCGCTAGAAAGTACTGAGAACGCTATTAAGAACTCTGTTGTTGAACTACCACTGAGTACAGACGACATTATGGACCTACTCAACCTCAGTTTGACTGCGACGTACTTTCAGTACAACGGCAAACACTAAAAACAGTTACACGGTACAGCTATGGGCTCGTCGCAGAGAATTCCCAGTCCATTTAGGTCAACAAAAAATTTCCCGTCCGGGTCGGGGTTAGTATTTTGCCGTTTTTAGCCGTGACACTTCTAAATGAAGCATACATGACGTAAAAACAACAAAACGGTCAAAGAGTACTGGAAACAAGTTTGAAAAATAAAAATGATGGCCGAAACGCGGAGAAATTTTTTTGGGCTTTCGAAGACGTTTTCTGGAAGTTTTCTTCGCGCTGGCTACCCCGCACGGGTTCAGGTCAAATTCAAAGGAAAACAAAAAAACCCAGTTTTTATCACAATCCTTGGTTTAAAAGACTGTGGTGGTTTTAAAGGCAGACGAGAGGTGTCACGATATCAGGTGGTACCGTTCGCGATTTCTGCAAACTTTGGTTGTATAAATCTTTCCTCAAAAGTCTACGCAGGTGAAAGTGAAAGTCCATACAAAAATGGCGATGTTTCGGTTGGTTTTTAGCACGAAAGACCCAGTGAAATCCGATAAGCTGGCATTAGTCGAAGGTAAGATCTTGAATTTGATGTTTCTTGATAGAAATATTCCGGTGCTACCCATTGAGGTTTGGTTACGAGTAATTTACAATCAGAGACAAAAAACTCTCAAAGTCGCTTCAGTCTCATTATTCCGCTATGTCGTGGCTCGAATGTGGCTCTAGCCTGTTAAGTTCCCGAATGTGACCGGGAATTCTACGCGATGCTCCAGTTTCTGTTGTTGTAGTAGAAATTGTCATGCAAAACATCGAGGAACAAGCCCTAGCTACCTACACGCGAACTATACCTCTTTGGTTACGTTACGTTGACGACACATTCACCGCCGTACACAAAGACGGAATCGACGATTTTCACGAACACCTTAACAGACAGAACGCTGACATACAGTTCACTAAGGAGATCAAAGAAAATGGTAAGATACCTTTCCGAGACTGCTTGGTCACTCACGACAACAACAAACTACAAACGACTATTTACAGAAAACTGACACATACCGACCGATTACTAGACCAGTCTTCGTACAACCCGACCTGTCACAAGGCTACTACTATCCGGATTTTGACTAGACGAGTGCAACTAGTTTGTGACTCACTCGACAGCCTACAAGACGAGACTGATTATCTTAACAACGTTTTTAGTAAGAACAATTACAACACGGACTTTGTTTATAGATGGAACACTCACAGTAACATTGATTCCAACACTCAGACCAACATCAATTCTGGCCCTGTTACGACAGCTCTACTACACCGTACATCAGAGGCACCTCTGAAACTATCGCACGTATATTACAACCTTACAATATACGTATTGCACACAAACCGTTAACCACTTAATAATATACACGAAAAAATTACTCAATTTTTATTGGCTGAGAAAGGAGTGCAGCTCTTCTGTAACACGAGTGAAAAATGTGAAACACGAGTGCAAACTTGTAACACGAGTGCAAATTACAAATGCTTTCTCATTGGCTAAAAGTACAAAAGAAACCAACAAGAACCAATCAGATTAGAGCTGTTTCTATAGCAACATATTGGCGGAAATTTTGAGATAAGACGCGGAGGAAAATGGCCGGGGTTTTCAGCAAACAACGATGTGGTTTTGCAAGTGAAACAACGATTGAAGAGCTAAAAAATTTTTCCAAAAACCCAAACACAGTAAAGAGTACGTCTTTCTGGCTGAATATATGGGAGACGTGGTACAAACAGAAAAATATTGTCAACAAAATCGAAGAAAACGAGCCAGAAAAGCTAAACAAGCTACTTGAAACATTCTACACCGAAGTAAAAAACAAAAACGGTGACGACTACGAGCCAGACAGCTTAAGAGTGATGATAGCTGCACTTGATAGACATTTAAACGAGAAAGGATACAAGTTTTCCATCATAAGAGACAGGGAGTTCCACTCTTCCAAGCAAGTTTTAGGGGGGAAAGCTTGGCAGCTTCGCCAATCTGGTATGGGCAGACGTCCAAATAAAGCCAGAAGTTTAACTAAGGAAGAAGAAGAGGTGCTGTGGGAGGCAGAAAAATTTGGTTCCAAAACTCCAGAAGCGCTTATTTCTTCTATGTGGTGGCTTTTGACGCAGTTCTTTGGTCTCCGCCGCCGTCAAGAACACCACGCAATGAAAATGGAAGATTTTCAACTCTGCAAAAATGACGAAGGTATGGAGTTCGTGCAGTTTACCGGAGGTCCAACGAAGACCAGACAGGCCGGACTGCAGAGCAAGAACAGAGATTTTCAGCCCCGAATGTTCTCTGTTGGAGGAGAAAGGTGTCCGGTTGCTATCTTCAAGCAGTTTGTCGAGCGAAGACCACTAAACATGTGATGGTCAGGTCCTTTCTACCTCAGTATCAAAAGAAACCGAACACTGAATGACAACATCTGGTTCAAAACTCAACCAATGGGTGTAAACACGATTAGCAACATGATGAAAACAACTGTGGCGGGTACTAGCCTTGAAGAAAGTCTCAAAAAGTTCACGAATCACAGTGCTAGAAAGACAACAGTGAGCAAGCTAAAGAAAGCAAACGTTGAACGCTCAGATATTGTGAAGGTCACAGGCCATCAAAGCGTACAATCCCTTGACGATTACGATGAAGCCGACGAGGAAGAACAACGACGACTTTCCAGTGCAATATCCAAACGAAATTATGAAAACCCCAGTGCTGAGAAAAAGCGAATGGCAGTTTCCGACATCACAACAACTGTGGCTCCACTCGCTCCGCTAAACATGAAAGTGCCCGTACCACACACATTGGCCGGCCCATCGATGACAGCGACGAAAGAAAACCAATTCCCTCCATCACTTTCAGGTTTTCAAGCTCAGAATTTCTCTGTGAATCCAACCATGATGAGGTCCCAGGAACAGACCATGATTAACACGTTCAACAACTGTCAAGTGTCTTTCATCATTGGCCGCTCGAAGCGAGTTCCTGAGATTTCAAAACGACAGCCCAGTTCTTGTAAACGCCGAGCGTTCATTATTGAGGATGATTCTGATTGAACGTTTACTTTTCCGATTATTGTAAAGCGAGTTTCCTTTACATAAATGTAAAACGCTTGAAAGGTGTTAAATCAATCCGCACACATTTCCAAGTTCTAATTTGAACGTGTCAGTCTTGTAAAACTTTGCATTTGACAAACGTTGTAATCTGTTCCAGCCAATCAGTTGAATGAACTAAAAAAAGCGCGCCCCGTCAAATTTTTTTTGTTGTAGTTATTTTTTTCGTGTATATTATTAATAAGTAATCACATGATTTTTCTCGTGCAATTTGGAATAAATAAGCACTTGTAAATTTTTCAAAGACCACAAAGTGCACTCGCCCTACGGGCTCGTGCACTTTTGTTGGCGTCTTTGAAAAATTGACTCGTGCTTATTTATTCCAAATTGCACTCGAAATCATGTGATTACCTATACTTATGACGGCTGCTTACTAATGTCAAGGACAAAGACAAACCGGAGGACATGCAGGGAGCAGTGTACAAGATCAAAATTATGCTGCGACTGCCAGGCTTCTTACATTGGTGAAACCGGCAGAAACCTTAGCACTCAACTGACCAAACACAAATGAGCAACAAGGAATGGTGACGTCAACAATCACATTGCTGAGTACCATTTTCAGACAAAACATCAAATTGACTGGGACTCTGCGACATGACTGTATAACGTATTCTACAGTCTACTATCAATGTCCAGTACTTTAGAAAGCTGGTTTACTAACTTAGAACAAACGCCACTGAATCGTAGCCAACAGTTACCAGCGCCGTACAAACGACTTATTGACGAGATCAAGCAAACCTAACTACGAGAGAATGATTCGAGAACTGACAATTTGACTAACAATAGATGACTGTTTAACTGTGACAATAGACGGGTCAAAAGGCACCAATTACTGATTACGAGTCTTCATAGCTAATAACATCACGGCTTAACTGACAGACAACCAATAACATCGCAGCATAATTGATGAATCAGATCATCAACCACAGCATAATACCATCAACTGGCATGATACAACTCACTTTGACTCTGAAGTTGACTACCGAAAAGGTTGTCAAAACGTCAGTCACTGTCAACAACAACAGTCCTATTCAGGACTACGTTCACCTGGATGATCAAACACAACCTACTTTTAAAAGGTATTATTTTAGGTTTGCGGTTTGATTTTCATACGTATAATTTTTTCCTTTGTAAAAGCTTAAGTTTTTGCTTGATTTAAAAAACTTTTTTTCAGAACTCAGGTTTTTTTTTCCCATAAACTTAGATCATTTTTTCAAAACTCAGGTTTTTTCAAAGTCAGGTTTTGGTAAAAAAAAAAAACAGTTTTTTTATTGTCTTGAACAATCCGCAAAAGAGAAGTTCAAAACATTCCATTTTTCTGTAGATATGTGTAAAAGGTTGGAACACTTGGTCACAAGATGCAGTAACATCTTGCAGCAATATGTGATGTTGCAGGGACAAATTACTTTTTGCTTATTTCAAGAATTTTTCTGAAAATCTTGTCTCTGCAACAGAATTTTGCCGCTGCAACAAGTCGCACAAAGAGATTTGTTGCTGCAAAGTGTTATGCTACTTAATGCCTGATTTTTAGTACACAAGTAACTTGCTTTTTTGGGATGAAATGTTGCCTGGTGTGTTCAAACTCTATTAAGTTTTCCCCAACCGTTTTGCTAACAATCCAGTTTAGATTATTGGCAAATACATTCTGGGATATGAACCAAGGGTGGTATTGAAAAATACATGATGTTTGAACTTACCTTATTTCCCCTTTGTCTCCTCCCCAGAACTGGCGTGATGGCCGTGGAGCTCATCAGAATGTAATTTCAGCATCTACAGGTGCTGCTAAGGCTGTTGGAAAGGTTATTCCTGAACTGAATGGAAAGCTGACTGGTATGGCATTCCGTGTTCCTGTTCCAGATGTCTCTGTGGTGGATCTTACCTGCAGACTCAAGAAGGGGGTAAGGCACTGCCTCATTGTATGTTGACCTGTCAGCACGTTTGGTTTTATTGTGTTGATTACCTACATGTAGTGTGACACCAGTCAGAGCATTTTTTTAAATATTTCATTAGCCCTCAGTGGCCAATTCCAAAAATGAATTACAGTTGAACCTCCATATAATATTTGAAAACGCTAGGGTTTTCCCAGTTAAAGCCTTAGAGTTGGACCCTGTCTTAAACGACCACCTCTTGTAAGCAACTGATACCACTTTTCGGGGATGATGGTTAAATAACTGTCCTTTGTTTTCAATGTGCAAAGAAAGTAGTGTCCAATAGCCCGGGGCAACTATAACTACACACATTGCAACTTAGAAATTGCATGCAGTGAATTATCTTCCATAATGAAGATGTGATCTGACCTCTTCTCAGACGACACCCCCTGTGGTTTGATTCTTGTAAGTCATCAACTGTAAGCGACCACCAAATCTGTTCATTTTGGGTGTCCGTTTAAGGGAACTTCGACTTTGATTTTAAATATAGACTGGAAACATAAATTTTTGTTCTGAAGTGTTTTGGCTGAATCACCCAGCCTTCAACAGTTGATTGTACATGGGTTTGTAGCTGTCACAAGACCTTAGAGCAGCCATTTGACGAGAGTATGGTATTGTAGATGTTTGTGTGCTCCATTAACTGTTACGCCCTCAACCAAAATGTTTGAGGTTACATTATAAAATGGTGGTAGCCTATATCCTGCATTAGAATTAAACATCCTATCTGTCTCACAGTAAACTGAGCAGACACAAAAAGGACCGTGGCAAATCCAAGATGGCCTTTAGTAACAAATGTCTATAATTGTACACGATTATCTAGTTGGTGAAAAATTCATAGTGTGTATGGAACAGAGTTTGCAAATTTTATTGATGAGTGGAGTCAGTGTGACTTCTGCTTCACAAATTTTGGAGTCATATTCAGCGTGCAAAGAAAGTACTGTCCAATAGCCCGGGCTAGTGGATTTTGCTATCGGGCTAGTGAATTCTGTTTTTATCTTGCCTGACAGGCAAGTGATGTGTTTTGAGGAATTCAAATAACAGAAGAACTGTGAAATCAATTCTGCTTGTCAAAAAGCTTTTGGAGCTAGTTGAAATGATGACTGGGCTAGTAAATGCTAGCTTCAGCTTGCCTGGAAGGCAAGCTGTAAAAAAGATTTTCTTTGTACCCTGCATATTGGAATATTTGGGATTAAGTATCACAAAAACAAAAAAAACCATTTTCAGACTTTCCAGCACATGGTCCTGGCATGTATACACTATCGTGACGGATACACAAGGTACCTTTGGCGGTCTGCTAACCTGGAAAGCTCAAATCCATGATGGCGGTCATCGAGTAAACTCTTCCTGTTTTGTTGTGCAGTATTATTCTTTAATTTCGATGATTTAATTAAGGTTTACAACATTTACAATTAACGTAAATTGTATTTGTTACAAAAAAGATAAGAACAAAACTGTGTTTGTTGCCGAAAATTTCTGGAGTTGAAGTGACTCACTCTGTAACCTCAGTGGAGTCATCTGAACAATTTTGGCGTAAAATACGCCAAATTTGGCATATTTGCAAACCCTGATGGAAGCTGTGATAAAAAATTATACGATCAAACCTCACACAATGGCCACAAGAAATTGGTCAGTGTAGAGAGGTGGCCATCTTAGAAAGGATTAAACAAGAGTCAATGTATGGACAGTCTGCCAAAAAAAGTGGCTGTTGTATTAAAGTGGTGGCCATTATAGACAGGTGGCGGCCATAAATGGAGGTTTGACTGTATTTGATGCAAAACCTACATTATCCCTTTAAGCCCCAATATGCACATGCAAATTCTCCAAACTGATCTCTATACATTTCCTTTAAGAATTAGTTGAGAGAATTTGATAAAAGATCATCATGGCATTTTGTCTTTGATGATCATTAAATTAATTCTCATAACCTTATCTCTTGACAATGTATGGATATTGCTAGGAGAAAATTGATTTTGGTCATTATTGGGACTTAAGGCTTACATTGTTAAAAACAAAGTTAAAACTGAACATTCAAGCCATGCAGTGTTTTGCTTAGTGTTCTTCTGTAGCAACTTTGCACCAATTTCCCATCGTACTAATTTACAAATAAGTTACATCCCATTTTCTTTTTCATTCATTCTTTCTTTCATTTCTTTTCTGTTGTAGGCATCATATGATGAAATTAAGGCAGTGATGAAGAAAGCTTCAGAAGATCCAGCACTTAAAAAATACCTTGGATACACTGATGAGCAAGTTGTATCCACTGACTTCATTAGCAGCACTTATTCTTCAGTCTTTGATGCTGCGGCTGGAATTTCTCTGAATCCAAATTTTGTTAAGCTTGTAGCCTGGTAAGCAAAAGCATGCACCTTAAAAGTGCTTGAATGTCCTTGAATTTTCAAATAAAAATTCAGGCTAGGCCTTGAAAGAGCTTGAAAATTGTAGTTGGTGCTCGAAAGGCCTTTCAATTTTAGTAGTAACTTAATCCGATCCAGATTCTCAAGTGCTTAAAAGGAACAAACACAGAAAGACCTTCAGGAGAAAATTTCTCATGTTGTGAAACTAAAAAAGACATAGACGCAAGGCTCTTTTTTGCACTGAATGGGGTCCTTGAAAAATGGAAAATGGGTCTTTGAAAACGCCTTGAATTTTTTGCTCAAAACAGTATACTAACCCTGGGTTTTGTACATGACTTGAGTTGGGAGCAGTTGTTGGGGGGGATGGGGTGCTCCTTGCTGTAGGGCTCTGAGAGTAATGACTCACTTTACTTTAAGTTGTGACACAGTCTGAGTCAGAGTTGTATGTATACAGCTCTCTCGGGAGCTAACAAATACAGCTGAACTTAATCTGCTATGGCATCGCCAGCAGGAAACACTGTACCACCTCCTTGGTTTTTTAGTGGTGCTCCTACTTTGAGGTTGAATGTTGAGTTCTGCAATCTTCAACTTTTGATCCTTAAGATGAACGGTTAATATTAAGTGCCATTTACGGTTTATAAGGGAAGTACAAAGCATTTGTTTTTAGGTCATCTTTGATTTAACAACCTTTGAACAATCCTTCAATTACTTGATCCAGTTAGAGGGTGTGAAGATACTGTAAAATCCTGAATGCATTTTAATGTGTCATGAAGTGTTTGTATTCATACTGTCTGACCCTCTGTTAGTAATAACTTGGTTAACTTATTCGTAGGCAAGGTCAGTAAAATCGTTCTCAAAATTTTGTCTGTCTTTCTTCCCAGGTATGATAATGAATATGGCTACAGCCACCGTGTTGTGGATCTTATCAAGTACCTTGCTGGCAAGGAGTGAACACCTTGTTCCAGGCCCATCGTAATTTAAATTCCTCAACCCACCGTGTTAACGTTAGTTCAGTTTGCACCTTTTTCTTTCTTGATTATGATTCTCAAGATTAAATGGAAGTTTTTGTAACCGTTTCCTGTGGTCCAAAAGATTTTCTTAGACTCTCATGGTGGCTCCAGCCAACATAATTGTTAAAACAATTTTGATCAGCCTTGGCTGACTCATCGTAAGAAAATCGTCCAGGACAATGGGCATAGTTGCAGAAAATTTCACTTGATCTTGAGTTGCTGCTGCTAGCTTAGACTTCCAACCACTTGTTCAGAGGTTAATGCTGCAGTGAAGTAAAACAGGGACTCTTTTAAGATCAACAACGAGGCGCGATTTAGTAGAAAGTTTGTGCCGGTGGCTTTAAGTTGCTTATATCAGGCCTAAAACAAGCACTGTTTGGGCAATACAAAGGTGTCAAAACATGATGTAACTTTAACATTGTGGTGAAATCTTTGCGGTGGGCCTCATCATCAGTTCAGAAAATGACGGAAATCTGACTTGTCATGTGTGGTGTGTTTGTTGTCTGCTATCGTTCCCTAGGAATAGAAAAACTGGATTGGAAAAAGAAAACCAAAAAGAGTGGGATTGCTCCCGTCCTCTGGCTAATGTTCACTGAGAAGAAATGTGTTGTTGATGTTAAGATAAACTGAGCTGGAATAAAGCAACTTTCATCTGAACCATCAGTTATAATTTCTTTAATAATACTTTAGTAATACTTTGTCAGCAAAAAAACCTTGGGTGCACTTCGGTAATGAACATTTTGCCCCAAGTGAGACACAAATGTTAACGTTAAGTTAGGGGAGGGGTAGGTGGGCAGTTTCCCAGACCTAAATTTATCTGACATATGCCATCAGCTAACCCCAGGGGGACCCCGGGCTAACCATCGGATTGTAAGTCGCAGTGGAACCTCGATGTAACGAAGGGCTAAGCTGGACTGGCAACATGTGTTCGCTGTAACGAGGTTTCGTTACATCGAGGTTCTTTTCCATAAATTTTACTATTAGAGGGGTAAAGAAAATCGTTCGTTGTACCGAGGACTTTGTTATATAGAGGTTTGTTACATCGAAGTTCCACTGTCTAAATTTTTCCCAGCCCTTTTTCCTTCTAACTGAAATATTGTTCTGAATATTACACTCCCCTGGGGCAGGGAACCCAATTTATTCACTTGTATTCTCAGAGATATTCCCCCTGGATTGCCCAGGGTACTATCCCTGGGGTAAGCTAATAAGATGCACATAAAGTGATATTTTTTAAATTGATTTGTTGTGACAAAGATATTTTTTTTAAGGGTACCCCCTTCAAAGAAGATACATTCGCGCGAAAAAACGAACATTTGCGCATACATCAGTTTCAATAACGATTAATTTTTGCATTTTAGTCAACATTCAATAACATTTTGGGGCATGATGTATTTATTCTTGAATTTGTGATGTAGTTTTTTCCTCATCGAACGAAAACATGATCAATGGTAATTGCTTCTTTGAACGAATATTAGAAAAGTTTAAATATATACCCTCTGTCGATTTGTGCCTTGTGAATCTCATCTGTTGACACTTGCAATGCAAACTGCTTACAATGCACCCCTACATTTTGGCATTCGCAAAAGGGCTTCAAACGATTTTGAAATTTCTTAAAGGCCGGTATCGCCGTTTGCTGGTCTTTTCCTAGATTTTTTCAAAGCCCGTTTCCGGTTTCTGCTGGTTAGGTGGTCAGTAGGGAAGCCAGAAAACCGGGCAGAGCGGCTGAAAAAGTCACATTCTTTGAAATGCCTTGAAACTTTTTTACGGTTAATATTAATCTGCCTTTTTGACGGTTGACAGTAAAAAAGAAAAAAAAAAAAAAAAAAAAAAAAAAAAAAAAAAGCGGCAGCACCTTCAGGAAACCGCGGGCAGTTAGGCTTTCGCGGGAGAGCCAGCGCCTTGCATTTTCCAGGGTTCAATCTTGTTTCCACGCCTCCTTTTGTTCCTTGTTGAGATTTGCATAAACTGCATGAGCAGTTCTTCTACCCGATTCGTGAGTTCTTTTCGGCTAGCGAAGGCTCCATTATATTTTCTTTGCGAGACATCAACTTGACACTTGGCCTCTTGTCCTCCAGGAGACACGTGATATGGCATGATTTTGTCTTCTGTGGGTGTTGTGAGTTGTAAGTCAGGGTAAATCAGGGGCACCCAACGTCAATTTTAGGAAAATATCTGTTCGAAAAACGATTTGAGATCTAGAATTTTAGGAACATTTGTTGTAAAACTTCTTGCTTGCCTGCCTCTCCTAGAATTTTCGAACATCCAACAAATGGTATAATTGCCCATTTTTAACGGATTTTTACCCTAAAAAGGTCACCTAGAATTTTCGGGAGCCTTTTTTCTGGGCGAAATTTTCGAAAAGGTAAGTTTTGATCACTTGAATTTTCGGATCACTAGACTTTCAGCTAGGATTTCCGAACAGATGAAAAATTTTTAGGGGATAAAAATTTGCCTATATCTACTATTTAAATACTAAAACACGTTTAACAATGCTACGTTTAAGTTTTGAACTATGTTCTCGTTGGGTGCCCCTGGTAAATCAGAGTGCGCGGGTTTTTTTCAACAGAGCTTTCTCTAGTTGTTACGCCATACTGAAGAGCTGCAATAATAGCGAAACAGCTGCCTATGGCTGTCGTGTTGATGTCTTGCAAAAAGTAATTTTCACGAGCATTGTATAGTATTTTGGTACGTTTAAGCTCAACACATGACGGTCTCCTTGGCTACGATAAATTTGAACAAAAAAAGAACATTCCTTATATTTGATTATCCTTTAATGCATTTTCAACAAATCGTTATACAATTCGGTTAGTATATGTTATAAGATCTTATAATTAACGGACCAGAAGAACCTGTAGAGAAAAAAAATGGTACTTGAACTAAGGGCGCGGGGACAGTATTTCCAAAAACACACTAGCTAACAACTAGCAACTGCTGGAAAGAAAATGAAAAGGTATGCCGTATAACATAAAAGGACAATTTTGATACCAAAAGGTGAACCATGTTATTAAACTACAATCGGCAATTCAATGATACTACAATACATATGAAAAAAGATTACAAATTAAAATATATTTACAGGTTGAATGTCATTTCAGCTATTATTACAGCTATGATTCTATAATTTATTGTTACATTCACAGAAAAGACAAACTACATTTGAGGGCAACCCAATGCCCCCCCACCCCTCCCCTCCCGGGCAACTACAAAAGGTCAACAGTGACAAATACCTCACGAGATGGTGTTGTTCGAAAAATTACTGTTTCTTATTCTACATAACCAATTTGAACTTTTCAACAGTAATTATACCACTGGTAATTAAGATCATATTATATCTTGTCAAAAACCTGGATTCGGTTGTTTTCCTTATCACACACAACTATCCTTCCATCACCAAGATTTGCTGTAGACCTTGGAAAGTTAAACATTCCTCTCTCACTACCTTCACTTCCAAACTTTGTAACAAACTTTCCACTCAGTTCAAATAACTGAACTCTGTGATTTCCGGCATCACAGACCATTAGCAATCCTTCTTTGTTAACTGACAAGTAACGGGGCTGATTGAACTCTCCATCCTTGTTTCCCTGTTTTCCAAATTGAGAAATAAGCTTCCCCCCCAGATCAAACATTTTAATGGAATCATCACCGTGATCTGAGACTATAAAATATTGACCGTGTTGGATACAGTGATAGGGTTCGACCAAAGAACCTGCGCCACCAAACTTACGTAAATACGCCCCACTAGAAGAGAATATCTTGATTAATTTGTTACCTCTATCAGCAACAATAATATCACCGTTACCGTTTATTGATAAACCTTCAGGGTATTTAAGCTGATTAGCACGACTTCCTTGTTGACCAAACTTACTAAGAAAGTTACCATTACTATCAAAGACTTGCACCCTGTGGTTCCAACTGTCTGCCACTACAATATTACCATGACTATCAAAAGCGATCCCTTTAGGGTTCCGGAACTCACCATCATTGTTACCCCATCTACCAAACGATCTTAAGTGGGTACCGTCACTGCTAAACACTGAAACCCTGTGGTTATCGTGATCAACCACAGCAATTTCATCACGATAATTCACTGCCATACTCCAGGGCTTGTTAAGCATTCCAACAGACTCACCTTTTCGTCCAAATGACAGCACAGATCCGAAGCGCCTGGTTTGTACCTGAGTCTCAAGAGGACTGTCATGAACATTTGCCCCTTTATTCCCAGCAATTGCTTTACTACTTTCTTTACCTTTAGCTCCTGATTGTTGCGCTTTAGTTTCGCTAAAAACAAATTCTACATTACCTATCCCCTCGCTCATGCTCAACAGGTTAATCAGTTTTTCACTTTTAGTGAAACTAAACCGAGGAATACATTCAGTGTCACGGTTTTCTTGGGTGCTCTGTTCCTGCAGGATTGAATCAAATGTTTCACTGAATCCAAGGATTTCAGTGCTAAAGCTGCGTTGCAACAGAGTTTCAGTTTGTTCAATTGCAGATTCAATTCGTTTTAACTGTCTTTCCACTTCTTCTTTTTTCTGTGAGAGAGATTCCAGTGATTTTGTCGCTTGATTATCGACTGCATCAAAAACATCTTGTTTTCTCGTTTCGATGATTGCAATAATTTGGTCTACACAAGACTGCACTTGGCTTTTTACCTCGGTTACTTTCCATTGAAATGCCATGCTTCTTTGGTTGAATTGTTCGACTTCTCTTTGTTTTTCCACTACTTTGTCTTTCAAAGATCGAATCATGGAGTTTATCTGTGTTTTGCGTTCATCAGTAGCTTCTTGCAAGGGCATCTTACCATGACCTTCATGAAGTGTTACAGCGCAAGTGTTGCAAATGGCGACTTTACAGCCCTTGCAAAAGAACTCCAACTCTTTGTTTTCATGGTGTTTCTTCTGACAAAATGCTGGTCGCTCTAAAACAGCTTTGATGTCTTGATCTTGAAAATCTTTCAGCGCTAGCGTTCTGTGGTCTTTATTTTCTCGAATTATGTTATGTCCTACAATACATTCTTCGCACCAGAAGGAACAACACTGGAAGCAATATGAGGTCTGGGCGCTTCGTTTGTCGCAGTTTCTGCATTTTACGTTGACTGTACTGCACTCTTTAATTGCCAAGACATCTAGCAGGCTGTTTATTCGAAAATTGGTGGGAAGTTCGCAGGGATTTCCACTTCCAGAAATCTGAAACTGTCTCCTACACTCGGGGCACGTAATTTTACCACGGACGCCGCTCGTTCGTTGAATTCCGTTCAGGCAGTGAAGACAGAAATTGTGCAAACAAGGCAACTGCTTTGGATCAGTGAATGGACACATGCACACAGAACAAGATACTTCATCATGAAGATTGTCCAGCAAGGTCTTTATATCCATGGAAAAGGTCGGAAACAAGGTTACTTTTTAAGAAATTTGGCCTAGCTGGGTGTTGACGATCAAGGAAATGGTAATGAGAATGAACAATTAAGTCTTGTATTGTGATCCATACTAAACTCTGTATTATTAGCCAATCAAATAGAGTTTCTTGACATGTTTTGATGGTGTCACGGAAAAATAAATAACATCCGGTATTTCCTAAAATTGTTAATCAGCTCTTTGAAAGAGCGTTCTCTCCCTAGTATAAATTGGTTAGGAAAAAGTTCCTACGCAGGCTTATATAAAAGAACGGACTACGCAAATTTTTTGTATTTGTAAACACCAAAACACTCAGCACGTTACACACGCGTACAATCCATGGACAGATTAAACTGGGAAAGCGAGTCCCGGTTGGCCCAAAATCAGAATCAAAAACGCCACGCGGAAGACAAAACGCGCCATTTCTCCATCTTTTATTTTATAGGATGGTGGACGGATTTATTTCCCATCGAATTTTTTCCAAGATAATGCTCGTTAATCTGAGTGTTTTCAGCAAATACATTAATCAACCTTCGGTCAAGTCTCCTCAGATACTGCGCAACAAAATCCTCCAGAAACATCATTTATAAATAATATTTTTTTAAAAAAAATCATTACAGCTCGTCTCTAACTATTGGACGACAAAGTCCCAAGATATTGTAAGCCACGACCGATTAGACCCTCTATATGACCTATATGGATACCTTAAAAAAAGATAGAGGAGTAGACGTGGAGTTAAGGTGAAACGATAGCCTGACAAGAAATAGTTGCTCAAGGATACCATAGGGTTAACCCGTGTGGAGAACATAAAAAGGGGACGGGTAGGGAGAAGGGGAGGGGATTAAAAAGACTCCTGCAATGAGGAACCCTATATTGCTAAACAGATAAGATAAGGACAAGAGGAGAGGAGAGGAGGGTAGGGGAGATAACTTTATCTGCTTCCATGTCCTTTTTGATCCCCTCCCCTTCATGTACTTGCTACGCAGGTTACACTTGCGTACAACCTGCAGTACGTGCCCTGAACTGAAGTGTTTATAGTAGATTTAACAGATATCTACCTTTATAGAATAACTAAGATAGTGCGCGCGTTCTGATTGGTTAAAACCCTATGGTTTATTGTGCCGGTAAACTCACAGAAAACTTAAAGTTATTTTATAAAAGCAATAGACCACACTTTCTATGGGTTTACGGGCTTGATAACCTACGCGCACGCGGGATGTACTGTTGAGAGAACACTCAGAAACCTTGTAAATCAGGAACCGAGGGGATTATCACGCCGGTACATCCATAGAAAGTGTGGTCTATTGTTTAATAAAACTCTTTGTCGTCCGCTTTGGTCGTTTTGGGTCCATATGGACCCATGCATATTATTCTCCCTGGACCCCTTAGGCTTTCAATTCTAGCTATTAAGATGGTAATTACCAATATCGGCAACGATAGAGCACATGTCCACGTGTACAAAAAGGGCCTTTGAAAAAGGTACGCCCCGGGACTTATTTTCGGAATTTTACGGTATCCCAGGTCTAATAAATTAAGGCTAATCATAACTAAGAAATCTTCAAAGTTCATTAGACAAATTCTTTATAACTACATCACGTGACCGGCCACGCCCTGTTTTATCTAGAAATCCTTTGGGTCGAAATGCAAACTATGTAGTAAGCAAACGGTTTTGCTTTTGTAGGTCCAAACAGTGGCTACCGATAGTCTTCTTGAAAAAAGATTGGAATAAGACGAAAGTGTCCGTATTTTGGGGGTTGAATTAAGACAAAACTGTGTAAGGGCTTTTTTTTTCCCAGGGACAAAAAATGAGGTGTCTGTATTAATTTAGCGGTTGTCCTCAACAAGTAAAAGTACCAAGCAATTTGACAAAAATCCACTTTTCATCGTAACCCAACCAAATCTGGCCATTTAATGTAAAATCAGGTGAAAAAATCGGCAAAAGATGATTTTTCGGTTTTTTGATTAAAGAGGGGTTTGACTGCACTGTTGCCTTGTCCTACAATTGCAAACTGCCCAGTAGACCTTTACACGGCTCGGATGATCGCTGGACATAATGATGATCTATTCTCCGAGATGAGACGTAAAAATAGTGTCCTCAATTAGTACAAGCGTGCTAAAATCATTATTTTAAACTTGAATGAAGTAAACTGGTACGTTTAACGTCAACACATGACGATCTCATTAACAACGATAAATTTAAAACAAAAGAAAAACATTCTTCATATTTGATTAACCTTTAATGCATTTTCAACAAAACGTCATACAATTCGTTAAATATATATGTTATAATTTAACGGACCTGAAGATCCTGATGAGAAAAAAAAAATGGTACTTGAGCTGAGGGCGAGGGAAAAATACTTCCAAAAATACACTAGCTAACAACTAGCAACTGCTGGAAAGAAAATGAAAAGGTGTACAACATACCAAACAATTTTGATACCAAAAAATTGAACAACCTTATTAAACTACCCCTGATCGGCAATTAAATGAGACTATACGATACATTTGAAAAAGGATTACAAAATATATTTACAATTTGAATGTCACTTCAGCTATTATTACAGTTATTATTACAGCCACGATTTTATAATTTATTGTTACATTCACAGAAAAGACAAACTACGCGTGAGGACAACCTAATGCCCCCACCCGGCAATAGTGACAAATACCTCACGAATTCAGGATGTTGTTCAAAAAGTTACGATTTCTTTTTCTAGATAAAGAAGCCAATTTGAACGTTTCAACAATAATACCACTGGAAAGATCATATTATAACTGGTCAAAAACCTGGATTCGGTTGTTCTTCTTATCACACACAACTATCCTTCCATCACTAAGAGGTGCTGTAGACACTGGCCACTTAAACTCTCCTCTCCCGCTACCTTCACATCCAAACTCTGTAACAAACCTTCCACTCAGATCAAGTACCTGAACTCTGTGATTCTCTTCATCACAGACCATAAGCAATCCTTCTTTGTTAACTGACAAGTAACGGGGCTCATTGAATTCTCCATCTTTGATTCCCTGTTTTCCAAATTTAGTAATAAACCTTCCCTCCAGATTAAACATTTTAATGGAATGATCACTACGATCTGAGACTATAAAATATTGACCGTATTGAATACAGTGATAGGGAGTAACCAAAGAACCTGCTCCACCAAATTTACGTAAATACTCCCCACTAGAAGAGAATATCTTGATTAATTTGTTACCTTTATCAGCAACAATAATATCACCGTTGCCGTTTATTGATAAACCTCGAGGGAATTCAAGCTGATTATCACGACTTCCTTGTTTACCAAACATACTAAGAAAGTTGCCATTCCGATTAAAGACTTGCACCCTGTGATTATAACAGTCTGCCACTACAATATTGCCATGACTATCAAAAGCGATCCCTGTAGGGCAATAGAACTCACCATTATTCTTACCCTTCCTACCAAAGGATCTTAAGTGGGTACCGTCACTACTAAACACTGAAACCCTGTTATTACCGAGCTCAGTCACAGCAATTTCATCCTGATCATTCACTGCCACCCCATAGGGAACGTTAAGCATTCCAACAGACTCACCTTTTTGTCCAAATGACAGCACAGATCTGAAGCGCCTGGTTTTTACCTGAGTCTTAAAAGGACTTTCTCAAAAATTTGCCTCTTTATCCCCAGCAACTACTTCATTACTTTCTTTACCTTTAGTTACTGATCCTGATTGTTGCGCTTTAGTTTCGCTAAAAACAAACTCTACTTTACCTATCCCCTCGCTCATGCTCAACAGGTTAATCAGTTTTTCACTTTTAGTGAAACTAAACCAAGGAATACAGTTTTCTTTGGTGCTCTGTTCCTGCAGGATTGAATCAAATGTTTCAGTGAATCCCTTGATTTCAGAACTAAAACCTCGTTTTAACAGAGTTTCAGTTTGTTCAATTGCTGATTCAATTAATTTCACTTGTTTTTCCACTTCGCCTTTTCTCTGTAAGAGAGATTCCAGTGATTTTGTCGCTTGATTATCAATCACATTAAAAACATCTTGTTTTTTCGCTTCGATGATTGCAATAATTTGGTCTACACAAGACTGCACTTGGCTTTTTACCTCGGCTACTTTCGATTGAAATGCGATGCTTTTTTGGTTGAATTGTTCGACTTCCTTTTGTTTTTCCAGTACTTTGTCTTTTAAAGATTTTATCATGGAGCTAATCTGTGTTTTGCGCTCATCAGAAGCTTCTTGCAAGGGCATCTTACCATGACCTTCATGAAGTGTTACAGCACAAGTGCTACAAATGGCGACTTTACAGCCTTTGCAAAAGAATTTCAGCTCTTCTTTTTCATGGTGTTTCTTCTGACAAAATGCTGGTCGCTCTAATACAGCCTTGATGTCTTGATCTTGAAAATCTTTCAGTGCTAGCGTTCTGTGTTTATTGTTAGCACGCATTATGTCATGTCCTAAAATGCATTTCTCGCACCAGAAAGAACAACACTGGAAGCAATATGAGGTTTGAGAACTCCTTTTATCGCAGTTTCCACACTTCACGTTAGCTGTACTACACTCTTTTATTGCCAAGACATCTAGCAGGCTGTTTATTCGAAAATTGGTGGGAAGTTCGCTGGGATTTCCACTTCCAGAAATCTGAAACTGTCTTCTGCACTCGGGGCATGTAATTTTGCCATGGACGCCGCTTGTTCGTTGAATTTCGTTCAAGCAGTGAAGACAGAAATTGTGCAAACAAGGCAACTGCTTTGGATCAGTGAATGTACACATACACACAGAACAGGATACTTCATCATGAAGATTGTCGAGCAAGGTCTTTATATCCATGGAAAAGGTCGGAAGCAAGGGGTACTTTTTTTAAAATTTTGGCCTCTAGTTGTTGGCGATCAAGAAACTTCAAGAGAATGGCTTTGCAATGAACAATGAAGTATTGTTTTGTGACTCAGACTAAACACTGTATTATTAACCAATCAAATAGAGTTTCTTGACATGTTTTGGTGGTTTGACTGAAGAATAAAAATCATCAAATGTATTTCCGAGAATTGTTAATCAGCTCTTTGAAGCATGGATAAATTGCCGGCTAGCATATGTTCCGCGCGAGATGGTCGAGAAAGTCGAAAGTTAGGAATGAAGGAGCTTTATACCTAAATCCCGCCAAAACGCGTCATTTCCTCATCCTTTATTTAACAGGAGAGAGAACGGATTAATTTTCCGTCTATTTTGTCCAAGAATGTGGTCGTTAATCTGCGTGTTTCCAGCAAATACATTAATTAATCAACCTTCGGCCAAGTCATCCCTGATATATACTGTCCAACAAAATGCTCCAGAAAAAATGGCAGTTGCAGAAAATTTTTACTATTAAATCTTTAGTTTCTGTGGGCCTTTGGGCTATGCAAGCTTAGACTTCCAACCACAGAGGGGTTGAAGGTGCAGTGAAGTATAACAGGGACTGTTTTTCGTTAAGACCAAGGTGTGTTAGCTTATAGAGTATAATTCAGCGTGCAGATACCTTGAAGGTCATGTAAAGATGCTTTGCAATTAAGAAACTACCGACGCACGCAAATAAAAAGGTCAGCTCCGTGATGAAATCTTTGAAAGACAAAGTACTGGAAAAACAAAAGGAAGTCGAACAATTCAATCAAAAAACAATTTCAATCCAAAGACCGAGGTAAAATGCCAAGTGTAATCTTGTGTAGACAAAATTATTGTGATCATCGAAGCGAGAAAACAAGATGTTTTTGATGCAGTCGGTAATCAAGCGACAAAATCACTGGAATCTCTCTCACATAAAAAAGACGAAGTAGAAAAACTGAAACTCTCTTGAAACGATTAGTTTAGTACTGAAATCCAGGAATTCAGTGAAATATTCGATTCAATCCTGCAGGAACAGCACCAAAGAAAACCGTGACACTGAATGTATTCTTCGGTTTAGCTTCACTAAAAGTGAAAAACTGATTAACCTTCTGAGCATGAGCGAGGAGATAGGTAAAGTAGAATTTGTTTTTAGAGAAACTAAAGTGCATCTGAATTGTCCGTAGTTGTCATTTTTTACGGACACCTCGGTGAAGTGCTCTCTTTCGAATAATCTTTTTTACAAATTTAAATTAGTACTATTATGGTACGAGTCAAGAATTGAGATATTTTAATCTCATTTGTGTTTAACAAGTGCGTGGGCCGGCTGCAACGGAGACTAAAACAGACTGGTCGTGCATGTTTTGATCAGCGTGCTTTCATTGTTAAACGTATAACGTTTTTTACTTGTTTTTGTTTGTTTTGTCTTGTTTTTACTTTATTAACTTTTCTAATTACTCGTGAGTTTAAACACGCTTGTATTTTGGGTTTCTTCCCTCCACCTTCTTTGCAATATTTTTTTGTTTTTCCGTTTTTCTTTCTTTCTTTTTAGTCGCATTTCTTTTTCTGCAATTTGTCTTCTCGTTCCTACACCGGTCCAATAAAGGCCTACAAAAATTTGTAAATAAGATCCCGGCTCTTCGCAGCCTTGTATTATAACACAAAAAGTAAAAATGCGCAAATTAGTTTTCATCTGCTTACCCTATTGTTGCTTACAATATGTGTTGCACTGGTCTTTTCAAATCTTTCGCCAAATCTCCGTCATAACTAAAATCCAGTCATGTTAAGAATGGTTAAAAAAATTGTCCTGTTTTATAGATCAATGCTTATGATAGTATAGCGCAGCAGATAAAAAGCGCGGGAAAAATTGCAAAAGCGGTGGTTATGCTGCGTTTCTTTGCAGTTCTGAATTCACATTCAAGGTAAATAGTGGATGAAAACTGGTCATCATTAGAAACGGCAAACCGAAGACGGATTTACCGTGGTAGCTGTACCATGGTTTGGTACAGAAACATGGTACATTTTGCACTCCGCTGGCCAAAATTCAAGAGGGAATTTCTCTCTTCAAATACCTCCCTAAAGAAACACTGATTCACAATATGAGGCTGATTCTTATTTGAACTAAATCCCCTGAATTCAAACTGGGTGAATGTTGGTAGGAAACACAGAAACGTGTGGTTCCTTACGCTGTCGTCTAAAGCGATACACGTTTTCCTACCTCAATTTCTATTAAATTAGACGAAAAGGTATTTCAAAGGATACGCAATAAGCAATAACATATCTTTTGAGTTTTGCGTGATCAAGTTCAAGGTCTTTCGAGAGGAAAATTGTCAGCCCATAAAAGATGTGTTTCAAGCGCTGTAAAAAATATCAAAAGGATTTCAAATAGTTACATTCTTTGCATTACAGAAACTTTAGGTTATGATACACAGTAGCGTTCCATTGTCAAGGAACTGATGTTCTTATTTGAGCATTTTATCTGATGGAAGGAGGTGTTTTTCTTCGAGTTGTTTAAGTGCATTTCAATGTCAATTCGCTACGTTTTATTCTAGTACAACATCCTATTTAAACTCGAAAGTGATAATTCTCATTTTGGAGTGAAGAAACTTTCTTTATAAACCTGATAGTAGTTGATAATTATCCGGTAATTAAGCTTGAACCTTTAATTTGAATCCGCGATTACGAAGTCTGGAACTAAAAAGCGACGAACACTCAGCCATGATGGAACCTTTAGGGGGGTCCTGCACAAAAACACACATCATTCTTTATTAAATTCATTACATCTCGTCTGTTTTGATTACCAACCTACTGGACGGCAAAAGCCCATGGTAAACGATAACCAATTAGACCCTCTAAGAACTAAATGGATACCCTCAAACCTGGGGGCACTCCCAAATAAAACTGACGGGGATGTTCGTTGGAGAATTCAAATTAAACCCTTAAAAACGACTCGAGGTAATCGTCTGAAATTCAGGCTACCCTTATCTCTGACCTAACTACCAGTGTGGCTCAAGTTTACACTAAACCCGGCCCTAAGGGAGATTTCTGTGTGGTCAGTGTCAGAACATTTTTTGTAAATTTCTTTATGCACGGTACTAAGCGATACCTGAATGGGCAAATAAAGTGACTTTACATCCCGAACACCCTAAGTGAGACCAATATCTGCAATTTACACCCCAAAGCGAGGCGACGATCGATCGAGGAGCATCCCCGTCACTTTCATATGGAAGTCCCCCCGGGCCCTCAAAGAAGAGTTGATGTAGAAGAGTTAAGAAGAGAAGTTCTCGTTGCTCAAGGATACCATAGGGTTAACCTGTGTGGAGAATAAAAAAAGAGGACGGGTAGCGAGAAAGGGTGGGGGGAGGATTAAATTAAATTAAATTAATTAAATTAGAAGAGATTAAAGAGACTCCTACAATGAGGAAAACTAAAATGCTAAACAGATCATTTATTAGTGAGAAATAATTAGAGGAAGGAAGGGTGGGCTCAGTAGAGATGGGGGAAGATTATTAACTTTCTTCCCCCGAAAAGATTGAGCTTACTAGAGGGAGAGGGCTTACTAGAGAGGGGGAACTTAAGAGGATTTAGGGTAAGATGAGATAAGGACATGCAAGAGGAGAGGAGAGGAGAGAACAGTTATCTGCTCTCGTGTCCTTCTTCTCCCCTCCTGTTCATGCGCTTGCCACGAAGGCTACACTTGCATATAGCTTGTAGTTCATGCACTAAACTGAAGCCTTTATGGTGGATTTAACAGATATCTACCTTAACTAAACGAAAAGATTAACTCAGCCTGTAGAGCGTTTGACTGCAGCAGCGGAAAGTCACGGAACCGGACAAATACTGAGGGTCTTAAAATAACTAAGGAACTGAGTCAAACCCCGTTACTACAGACACTGAGGGGGGCATAGAAAGTGTCCGAATTAAGCGGGTTGAATTCGGAGAAAATTCAATGGTCTATTTTCACCAGGGACAAACAATGAGGTGTCTGTATAAAGCGGGTGTCAATCAAAGGGGTTCGCTGTGCTGCCTTGTCCTGCAAACTGCTCAGTAGACCTACACGTGACTCGGACGATCATTGGACATAGACTTAATGGTGCATTCTCTGAGCAGAGACGTAAAAATAGCGTCCTCAATTAGACTCGCGTGCTAAATACATTATTTTACACTTGAATGAAAAGTAAACTGGTACGTTTAACTTCAACACATAACGTTCTCTTTAACAACGATAAATTTGAACAAAAAAGACATTCTTTATATTTGAATATCTTTAATACATTTTCAACAAATCGTAATACAGTTCGGTTAATATATGTTTTAACTAACAGACCTGAAGATCCTGTTGAGAAAGAAATTGGTAATTGTGGTAGGGCTCGGGAATAATATCTCCAAAAATAAACTTGCTAACAGCTAGCAACTGCTGGAAAGAAAATGAAAGGGTGTACAACGTAAAAAACAATTTTTACCGCTCAAAAAAATTGAACCACCTTATTAAACTAGAATTGGCAATTAGATGAGACTACAGTACATTTGAAAAAAGGTTACAAAATATATTTACAATTTGAATGTCATTTCAGCTATTATTACAGCCAGGATTTTATCATTTATTGTTACATTCACAGAAGAGACAAACTACTTGTGAGGGCAATCTAATGCCCCCCTTCCCCCCCCCCCCTCCCCCGGGGGGCAACTAGAAAAAGTCAAAAGTGACAAATACCTCACGAGATACTTTTTGTTCGAAAAATTACGGTTCCTTACTCTGGATCCCCAATTTGAACTTTTCAACAATAATACCACTGGTAAGATCATAATTATATCTTGTCAAAAACCTGGATTTGGTTG